TGAACGCTGTGCACCGTCACGTTCGCAAAACATGAGCCAAACAAACGACTCCAAACGAGCAAAGGCGTTTTTGAGCGACGCACGTCAACAGGAATAACCTGCGATCAGGCTTTCCTTCTTCCCTTTTTGTATGGGTGGCGAAAAGGAAAGTTTTCCTCCCCTTTTCCGTCCGCCGATTTAAGCCCTTTCTGCGAAAAAAGAACTACTCATCGCAGGTTACAACCGGAAGTGAGTCCTTTTCCTTTTAAATATGCCGTGACGATAAGTGTATATTCTCTTACAAACATTAAGACGATTTGCCTGAAAACTTGGCAAAACCACTGCCCAAAAAACAAAACGTCCTCTTCCCGCTGACTTGCTTCGCTCAAAATCGCCTCAGTTGGCTAGGGTCCCTATTGTAGCAAGAGTCTCTTGAATGTACCTTGTCTACATTCTCTCGAAGCGGCGTTAGCCTTCTGCCATCCACTACAGCAATGAATGACTGTCAACGAGATGCTTCTTGTTCTCTGAACAGAGCGGTAGGCTGTTTTTGGTCTTTCAAGGAACACAAGGAACAGAAAGAAGTTAAAACAAGGCTAATAAACTGTTACCGATGCTGGACCGAGTAAATAACTGAAAGGAATCAAATAAGCATAGCAAGGTTACGAAACCCATCTAGCAGAAAGCAAAAACGTCAGCTGTTTAGAAGGGAGGCTTAGGAAATGAAGTAGGCACTACTATACCGACAAACGTACGGAGAACAAATTAAAATATCCCCCGGGGGTTAGGACGGGAAAGATAACATTGAATAGGCCATTTCCGAGTTTCTCCGGGCCTCTGTATCAAAACGAGGTTAAGTGCTCAGCCTTTGATATGGGAATGCTTTTTCATTCTCATGCAAATGAAACTTTTTTTCACAACAAAGGTTGTGCACTTGGCCTCATTTCGAAACTGAGGGTTTTTGGAATTCGGAAGTGGCCTATTGACCGCTGTTTAATTCATGTACTACCTTAGAGTGCCTATTTAGTTGAAGGAAAACAATCTATAAATAATTTTAAACGGAATCCAATTCAAGATAAAACCAAATTATGAAATAAGATATAACGCGTGTTTCGTATGTGATTCTTTGGGTAACTCCTTCGTCTAATCACCTTTGCAGCCACGGGTGAGAGCAACTACACCCTATGGGAGTTCAGTCCAGTTCAGTTCGGTTTATTCATACTTATATATAATATTTACACTGTATAATAGTAACGTAGGAATAAAATAACAAATAAGAGAAAAAGAAAAGAAAGAAATGAATGGCTATGATAGAATTGTACGGTGGTCAGAGGAGCTTGGCGTTCGTGCTAAACACCGCTGATTATGAATGTGATTACTCATAATGTGCGATAGATGTCATAGCAAATATGGGCGCTACTGTGAAATAGTCATTTGTCTGTTGTTAACTCTAAGAGTTCAGCAGAATTCGTTTGTAATTGTTTTATGAACTGGTAGTAGCTGATTGTTTTCATGCTAGTAGGAATCTCTTCCAAGATTTTGGTTACGACAAACTTAAAAGTGTGCTTGCCATAATTTGACCTTATACGTGGCACATGANGGAAGTGGCCTATTGACCGCTGTTTAATTCATGTACTACCTTAGAGTGCCTATTTAGTTGAAGGAAAACAATCTATAAATAATTTTAAACGGAATCCAATTCAAGATAAAACCAAATTATGAAATAAGATATAACGCGTGTTTCGTATGTGATTCTTTGGGTAACTCCTTCGTCTAATCACCTTTGCAGCCACGGGTGAGAGCAACTACACCCTATGGGAGTTCAGTCCAGTTCAGTTCGGTTTATTCATACTTATATATAATATTTACACTGTATAATAGTAACGTAGGAATAAAATAACAAATAAGAGAAAAAGAAAAGAAAGAAATGAATGGCTATGATAGAATTGTACGGTGGTCAGAGGAGCTTGGCGTTCGTGCTAAACACCGCTGATTATGAATGTGATTACTCATAATGTGCGATAGATGTCATAGCAAATATGGGCGCTACTGTGAAATAGTCATTTGTCTGTTGTTAACTCTAAGAGTTCAGCAGAATTCGTTTGTAATTGTTTTATGAACTGGTAGTAGCTGATTGTTTTCATGCTAGTAGGAATCTCTTCCAAGATTTTGGTTACGACAAACTTAAAAGTGTGCTTGCCATAATTTGACCTTATACGTGGCACATGAAATTAAGATTTGGGGCATATATCTGATATTGTGTGAGTGAATATCAGCGTACCCCATTTTCGTCCTCTGTCTTGGAGCATAACTGGAAGCGTGTAAGATGACGAATTCCTGTATCTCCTTTCGCCTTGGATTCAATGGCTGTCAACAATAAACGGCTCTGAAGTGGGTGACACAGAGCACCTTAATCAAAAATGCATTGTTACGCCCAAAAGTGATTACCTGAGACGGTGTGGGTCGACGCCATGCATCGTGGAGTCATTGTGACGGCACACAGTGTCGCCAAATAGGTAAGGTAGTAAAAGTTAAAGTGAAAAAAGCCAACGTGAAATTCTTTTTAGTAGACACTGCACACTTCATCTTATAATTTTCTGTATCGATATTTATTCAGGCGCGGATCTAGGATAAATACTGACCGATTTTCTAAATTAGCGCCGAAGGCGCAAGCTTCTAGCGGGGTCCGGGGGCGGGCTCCCTCAGGAAATAATTTTGATTTTTACTCCTTAAGTCTCCTTTCCTGTGTTTCCGAGTCATTTAGATCGGATATTGGCCAAATTTTAACTTGGAAAGTGTTTTTATCATTAAAATATAATATATTATGAAAAATGTCACCGATTTCCGTAAAACGGTGGAAAGCGGTGTGGATCTGAGCCTATTATTAGTATGTTGTTGCCCATACCGCACTACTTCAATGTTGCAAACTTCTTGCTTACCGTGACGATTTACATCTCGACCATCCGAACCAACCGCATCTTCTAGTTATGGTTATGTAGACTGTGGTTGTTATGACCGCGTAGTATGTCTGTGTCTGTACAGTCTGCCTGGAGCACACGTTCTGCCTGAAAAAAGTTAATGGTATAAACAGTCGATATTTAATGATGCTTTCCAGATCTTGGGAGAGACTGATTAAAAGTCTCAGGTTTAGATATAAAATTAGCCTTAACATGATGCTACGTGCTAAAATCCCTTTTCACGTTGCCTAAAGCAGTGTCCAATCACTGCTAGGAGGGTAATCATGATCAGTTCATCAGTCAGTTTAAAAAGGTAAGCTCAGTCCTCAGTCATTCATTCACTACTATTCAATAGTAGTTAGCCGATTAGCATTACTCGGCCAGTCACTCTTTACGTTCAAGAATGGTCAATCAATTATTTATCAAGATAACCTTCTCGCGACAAGTTGAGCTAAAATGTTGCCCGTATTACTTGACCTTCAAAAAGAAAAAGTATGCACAAATGTACGCGCGGAATCGTTCACCTAAAACTTGGGAACTAAAACGAAAGTGGAGAAACATCGGGAGAAGAGAAAAGCTATTAAAAACTATCAGGAACAGAAGTCCAGTGAATTGAAGAAGAGAGCAACAGACTTCTATAAGACCTTCAACCTATTTCTAAGTTCGAAAAGTAGCCGATACCACAAACATTTCCATACGGATTAATGACAGCATAATTAGCGACCAAAGAAATATAGCGGACTATAGTATTTGGAGATTACTTCTCAACAATGGCAAACGAAATTGGAGGCCAGCATGTCCTTCAACTCGGCGAAGAAGACTTCAACAAGCATGTGAGCGTGGAAGCAATTCGCCATTCTTATCACAGTCTTCACTTTGAATTCAACAAGGTAGAATCTCGTGCAGTCAAAGACGAGTTAAAGAAGCTAAAAAGCCACGGGATGGGACGCAATTTTCAATACAATTCTAAAGAAAATGGCCGTTAGTCTTTCACCTTCGTTAGAAAATCTTTTAAACACTTGGGCCCAGTCGTTCGAAGGCCCATTAGCGCTTAACCCGGGTTTCTCTTTCTTGTGTTCAAAAGCATTTTCTCGGATAATTTTCTCTGTTATATTTAGAGCTTTCAATCATCAACTTGTAGACAAAAAGAATTAAAAGTGCAATCCTTTTTAAGCTTTAAAATCTAAATTCAAATCTCGCACTAACTCCTGCCCTGGGTTATCTTAACCCGGCTTTGAACAACTTGGCCCTGTATTCAAAGTGAGCAGTGGCTGAGAAACTGGAAGAGGGGAGTCTGGACCCCAGTTTTCAAAAAGGAGGACCTGGCTGATTATGCTAATTACAGACCAGTAACAGTCTCACAGAGAAAATAAAAAATTGGCCAAAGCCAACCTAAAGAACATGTTCTTCGGCATATTCGTTTGCGGTCCTTTGCAGTCCTTTGTGGTTAATGTTTGTACTTTATGTATTCTGGGGCCGTAGATCTTTTATAGATCCGATATGTCGTAATTCTTGCATGGTTTTGTCCATGTTCTATAGGTTGGTTTTGGCCAATTTTTTATGTTCTCTGCGAGACATCAACTTGACACTTGGACTCTTGCCCCCCCAGAAGACACGTGGTATGGCGTGATTCTGTGGGTGTTGAGAGTTCTAGGTCAGGACTTAAATCAGAGTGCGCGGATATTTTTCACCAGAGTTATCTCTGGTTGTTACGCCATACTGACGAGCCCCAAAGAGGGCGAAACAGCTGTCTATGGCTACAATCCCGCTCTGTTTTGAGTTCTTTCGGTGTCGTGTTGATGTCTTGCAGAGTTAATTTTTACGTAGTACGATCAGCATTGCAGTATTCTGCTTCCAGAATTTAATATGTCTACTTTTCATTTTTGCTGATCAGGTCTTTATAGATCCTATGTTCTTCGGCATATTCGTTTGCGGTCCTTTGTAGTCCTCTGTGGTTAATGTTTGTACTATGCAGTTTAACATACGCGGAGTTCGAGTTTTCGGCTTTGGACCGTAACAGTTTTCGACTGTTTACAAGTGTTTAAATGTTTAGAAGTAGAACGC